CTTGTTTAAATATTACAAGCTTTTCGTCTGGCGCAGTTTGGATTTCCTGTTTATGAGAGGATACAATTTTTTTTATATATTTGTTACATTTGGCTTGAATGCCCTCAATGTGATCTTAAAAAGTTAATTTTTGAGAAAGTACTAATCCAAGACATTTCACTTGGTTTGACCAGGAAATAGGAACTCCGATCATAGTGACTATGTGATTACTACTAGTTTTCAAAAAGGAAGGCTTATGTGGAATTATTATAAGTTGAGTTTTGGATGCGTTGGGAGAAATCTTCAATTTTTGTAAATAAGAAGAGAATTTAACTTAACTTTTCCAGAAAAGAGGAGAAGAGAAAATATTTTAACTTTTCTGCAGTCTGCTGACACGAAGAATTCTTCCTTTAACGGAAATGTCTGTGTCATCAGCGAACAAAGATTTGTGGCAACCCTGAGGCAAATCCGGGAGGTCCGAAGTGAACATGTCATACAATATAGGCCCAAGAATACTACCCTGAGGAACTCCTGCTCTATCAGGTAGTCGTTCAAATTTTGAATTAGCAATCAAACCTTCATGCCAAACACTGTCGAATGCTTTTTCTATGTCTAGAAAAGCAACTCCAGTTGAGCAGTCTTCAGAATTGTTTGGACGAATTAAATTGGTAATTCTTAGGAGTTGATGAGTAGTTGAATGCCGATGGCAAAATCCAAACTGATCATCTGCAAAAATTGAGTTCGTATTGATGTGAAGCATCATTATATTGAAAATTATCTTTTCCCGGCTATGAGACCTTCCCTAGGGAAGATCAATTTTCCCGAAAGGGGGAAGGAAGCTGACTGGCCGACTTAAATACGTCCACTGTGCTTCACGTCACAATCGATCAAGTTCTAATTAACGGGAAATTCTTCTCCGACATTATCAACGACAGTGCGAACATAGATTCGGACCACTACCTAGTTGCAGTATGCATGCGCTCAAAGGTGCATAACACCCGTCGAAGTCAAACGCCGCGGCCCAACATTGAGCAACTACGGGACACCGGAGTTGCCCAGGACTACGCGCAGCAGCTGGAAGTTGCACTACCCACGGAAGAGCAGACAAAACAGACAAAACTCGGTTTTCCGAAGGAAGAAGCGTCAGCAGGAAGCTCTACGAGAAGCTAAATAGTTCGCGCAAAGGCTACGTGCCGCAAGCCGATATGTGCAAGGACTTGGACGGTAACCTTCTCACGAACGAGTGTGAGGTGATTGAGAGGTGGAAGCAGTACTATGACGAGCACCTCAACGGTGAAGCAGCAGAAAACGAAGGTGGCACGGCAACAGACCTTGGAGCACGCACAGAAGACGACAGGCTACCGGCCCCTGATCTTCAAGAAGTTGAGGAGGAGATCGGTCGGCTGAAGAACAACAAAGCAACTGGTGTAGATCAACTACCAAGTGAGCTATTAAAATACGGTGGTGAAGCACTGGCTAGAGCGCTGCACTGGGTAATTGCCAAGATTTGGGAGGAGGAGATATTACCGGAGGAGTGGATGGAAGGTGTCGTATGCCCAATCTACAAAAATGGTGACAAGCTGGATTGCTGCAACTACCGCGCGATCACACTGCTGAGCGCCGCCTACAAGCTACTCTCCCAAATTCTATGCCGCCGCCTGTCACCATTTTCAAGAGAGTTCGTGGGGCAAAACCAGGCGGGATTCATGGGTGCCCGCACTACCACGGACCAAATTTTTGCGATTCGGCAGGTTCTGCAGAAATGCCACGAATACAACATTCCCACACATCATTAGTTCATCGATTTCAAATCCGCATACGACACAATCGATCGAGATCAGCTATGGCAGATTATGCACGAGTACGGATTTCCGGATAAACTGACGCGATTGATCAAGGCGACGATGGATCGAGTGATGTGCGTTGTTCGAGTATCGGGGACACTCTCGAGTCCCTTTGAATCTCGAAGGGGGTTACGGCAAAGTGATGGACTTTCGTGTCTGCTATTCAACATCGCGTTAGAAGGTGTGATCAGAAGAGCTAGGATAGACACGAAGGGCACAATCTTCAGCTTCAGCACAATCTTCCAGCTTCTTGGTGTCGCCGATGACATTGACACCATGGCACGGAACTTTGAGACAGTGGCGGAAACGTACATCAGACTGAGGGTTGAAGATAGGCGGATTGGCCTTGCCATCAACGCATCGAAGACAAAATACATGAAAGGAAGAGGTTCTAGGGAAGACAATGTTAGCCTTCCACCCCGAGTTCAGATTGACGGTGACGAAATCTACGTGGTCGTTGAGTTCGTGTATTTGGGATCACTGGAGACCGCCGAAAATGATACCAGCAGAAAATTCAAAGTCGCATCATGGCAGGGAATCGTGCCTACTTTGGACTCCGGAGGACGCTCGGGTTGAATAACAGTCGTCGTCGCACGAAGTTGACTATCTATAAGACGCTGATTAGACCGGTGGTCCTCTACGACCACGAGACCTCGACTATGCTTGTGGAGGACCAACGTGCCCTTGGTGTTTTCGAACGGAACCATCTACGGTGGAATGTTGATGGATGACGGAACGTGGAGGAGGCGAATGAACCACGAATTGCACCAGCTGCTGGGAGAACCATCCATCGTCCACATTGCAAAAAATTGTGCGACTACGGTGGGCTGGGCACGTCGTAAGAATGCCGCACGACGACCCAGTGAAAATGGTTCTAGCAAGCGACCCAACAGGAACAAGAAGAAGAGGCGCGCAGTGGGCAAGGTGGATCGACCAAGTAGAAGGCAACCTGCAGACCCTTCACAGACTACAACGCTGGCGAACTGTGGCAATGGATCAAGTAGAGTGGAGATGACTTCTTCGGACAGCAGAGAACAACAACAAGGCTTGTTTCTCATTCAAATACCTCCTGAATAATAATTCACGGACCAGTGCTCCTTTAAAGCTGGTCATATTTTGTCCCGTCCAGAATTTTTTGTCCAACATAGGGTATTTCACCAAAGGAGTTGAAAATTGTTCTTGTACATTTCTCGATTACATTTTCGGGGGAACGTGTCTGCATTTGTGGGGAGTGCGTTTGATGGTCGGTTTTGTGTGGCTGGTGGCTTGCCCACGCGTGCTGGCACCGCTATCAGGTAGGGGAAAATTTCCCCTATCTGGTGGTGGTGTTGGCATGCGTGGGCGGAATGCCGGTTGCGCCGGATTGGGGATCTGTCGTAGCTAGTTGTGAAGTAAGGGGCACGGCAGCTCACATAGTTCTGCCGGTGACCTTCGTTCGTGTTGTACGATTTCGGTGGGTTGTTGACACAAGTTTATAATTGTTTCTGAAGCTATTGTTCTATATTGTATTGGATCGGTTTCCGTATCGGTTAAAATTCTCGCTGTTTATAATGTGTTGTGATTCAAAAACTTCGATTGAGGTCATAAAATGGTTGTTTTTACATTAGGAAGAATGCCATGTTTCCTATTTATGTGCTTTTATGTGGTTGTGGGTATTTTTTTCATTTCTTTCTTTTCGAAATTTTCCAAAATGTGTATAAGGTTGTGTTGGTGCTGCCATGGTGATTGTATTTGGAGAGCATGTTCCAGTTAAAAACAATCCATTTGTTTCCTGGCGGGATTGTCGTCGTCGGTGCCGGATTTGAATGGTTAGAGCAACTCGAGTAAATGTATGATATGATATGAGGGGCTCGGTGGCCTTAGAGTGATCCTTTTTGCTTACTGAGCAGAACATCATGAGTCTAATCTCAGGTCCATCCACATTCAAGATTCGTTAATTGCTTTTATTTGTTAATATGACTGCTTGGTAATAGCAATAACTTGATGATCAAAATGGAGCCCGTTTGCCTAGTGGCAAACGTTTTTGCTTACTGAGCAGAAGATGTGGGTTTAATCCCAAGTTCCTTCGCGTTAGGACATCAATTCAGCTTATCGTTTACCTAAACGAACCCTGCTGCAATCCCAACCCTCTTATCCAATATCGCAGTGATTCCTCGTGGAAGTGCAGAGGTGTTCTCGGCTTCCATCAAAGCGAGTGTCACGTCAACATATTCCTACTCATTCTTTTCTTGACCTGTGTTTGGGCGCGGCCGGCGCTGGTATTGCCTAGTTTGAGATCACCAGTTTTTACACATTGAGGATGATTGCTAGCCCCAAGCATCGCCTATTGTATCTCTGTGCAATTACAGCTGATCTGGCAATAACAGAGTAGGAACCGTGGACAGTCAATCATGCTCATGCTCATGCTCATAGGGCATTTCGCCGGAGGATGTTGCGCTAAAGGACATTTTACCGAATGGGTAATTTCGCCGAATGGGTCATTTCTTAAATGTAAAACATTGATTGTAAAAAAAAATCCGAAAGCAGTACAACTCGAAAAAACTGGTCATGTTTAAATGAAGGAAGCATTCCTATAAATATTGATAATTTAGAAAATAACTAGTTGTACTGTTAACTCGAATGAAATGCTTATGATAAAAAGAAAGAAGTATTCCTAAAAATAAAAAAAAAAAATATAGATTTTTTTTTAAATTTCTGATATCAGCATCACTTGGATGAACTGGTCAGGTTTGAAAGAAAGAAACATTTTTACAAATGCAAATCATCGATTATTTAAAAAAAAACCGAAATCAGTACAACTCGAAAAAACCTGATCATTTTCAAAAGAAGAAAAGCATTCCTATAAATCAAAGATACAAATACTAATTTCAGCTAAAACAATGTTTTTCTGAATGATGAAGTAATTAGATGCTATGATCATATTTTGCATTGATAAGATACAAGAAGAGGTTGCAAAGAATGTGTTGGCGAAATGACCTTCGACAAAACGTCCTTCGGCAAAACGTCCTTCGGCGAAACGTCCTTCGGTGAAATGTCCTGCTCCCGAGAGTCTACTGTAGATTCTTTTCCACAATTTCAAAATGCGAGTGAAGATCGTTTCTCATGTGGGAGAAGTAATTTTTTCTTTAATTCATGGATGAAATTACAAGATATACATATAAACTTGTTTTCAATTACCTTTGAAGTTAGCAGCTTATATCCTTCAGCACATACTCTATTGTCTAGTATTCACTGTCATCCCGTTGTTTTGCTTCTTTTTAGAAAATTGGCTCCCACACTTTCAGCCACAAGTTTACATGATCTTCTCTAACAGCTACAGATGCTCATCACTCACACTCGACACTTCCTAAATATTATCCTCAGTTTCCGTTTTGAATCCACACCACACACCGAGAGCTACACACGACACCAAACCATCACATTGGATACATCCTACGTAGGGCACATCTTTCTCCCGCACCGTTGATGTTTATGTAAACAGTTTCCGTCAAACTTAATTACTTGGGCCCCGAGTTCCCTTCCAGCATCATCCACCTGACTGTGCTGCGTCAGTTGAGGACGGTGCTGCGTTCGAATGTACGTGCGGTGGTGGTCACACTACACTGCATCAAATATCGCCAACATCCCGTCATATGCACATCATTAACTTTGTTTGCATCCTCATCAACATCACTGGACGAAGCCGAAGTTGTCGAAGTAATGTCTCTCACACTCCCAATCGTAAGTCATTGAGCACATTTTTATTCATTATTCGCAAACCACCAACCAACCTCGCATCCTTCCCATGGTTTTCCGTATGCACTCAAAGCTGATTTAATAAAATTTCCTTTTCGCCACGTGTTAACGGTAAGTGATGCAAGTGGTTACTGGTCGCTGGTAGGTGCAACAAGTACTTTGCATCCAAGGTTTTTGAAGTGTTAATAAATCGGAAATAATTCAAGATCAGCACTCAAGCGGGCGTTAAGAATTGAATGATAGAAAATAAAATGAATCCGCATCGCTTGCGATGCACAATCAAAATTATTTCCTAAATTCTATATGTCAGATCCCTAATAAATATTATATAAATATTAATCCTCACTAAAAACTTCATAATACATCCAATCGGCGATTACCATTCCCACTGAACCAGTAATTCCATCACTTTTCACCCGAGCGGTCGCACATCTGTTGCTAATCAACCGGCATTCCCGCGCCGAGTCTCTTAATTCACTTGTCTTCCCGAAATCGAAGGAGATAAATCCGTTGCAATCTTCCAACCGCCCTTCGGAACGATCCACCAACAACTGCTAAACGCTTCTGCCTGCCGACGGCCAAAAATCGAACTGCTTCGAACGGTAGTCGACGTGCGACTGACGAGCGAGGAAAATTTCATCCCAAACAACAACCGCGGCACTGTGGTGGTTGGGAAAATTTTCCGAACCGAGCCCGAACCCGAGCACAGCTCTATTTAGTCGGGAGGAAACCGAAAGTGAAAGTCAAGGCTAATGGCTTTCCGCTTTCATCACCAACGTCAGTGCCGCTTTTTGGGATGAAAGGGAATTCCGTTCGGAGTGTTGCATTCTTCTCAGCAAGCTGTGCTGATGTGCGTTGATTTGGGGATATTGTTTTTCGCTGCGGAAAAAGGGATGGGAAATGCACACTCAGGACGAGGACTAAGGTGAACAAGAAAAGGTGCTGATTTAAGGAGAGGATGAGCCCTTTTTTGTTCCGCGAATTATTTACAGTTGAAAATAGAATAGCTGGTGACGATTCTCGGAATGTAGAGGATGGACGAATTTTCAGCAAGTGGAGGCTGTTTTACTTAGAATGTTTGTTTTGTTTGCGAAATACCAAGGACAGGAAGTCAACTTTTTCCAGTTTGATGTTAATTTGATGGTTGATGGCCTGTTAATATTCGATCTTCCCAGTTGTTAGTTTGTTCATCTAGGGGCAAGGTGGGGTTCCAGATAGGAAATGGTGATTAATTTTAATTAAATAAATCGGAAACCACCCACACTTAGTTATGAATTAATTAAATCCAAATGGTCAGGTTTTGAAAAATATTAAAGGATTTAAATTTATAAATCAGGAGCTAGAAAATCTATTTAAGTCATGGCATACTTTTCGAGACATTCGATACGTAAACATTTCCGGATTTAATTAAAAATCATCTGTAAGTTCCGAAAATTTGCTAGATTTTTTGATTGATTGATCGATTTTTATCATTTTCAACTAGGGGAATTTACGTATTCTCGGCAACCTAAGCAGCGACCTTCTTTCTATAGCCTTTTTCTCTAAGGAACGCACACATATGCAGTATTGGTTTGCTTACAATCTTTTGCTGCCAGCTGCTCTAACAATTTCAGTCGAAAGAATTGTCAAAAACTGTTTTGAACAAAGCTCCAATCTTCTCTAGTGAGAGCGAGTATTGTCGGCAACCAGTTTTTCTTCGGCAACCGTTCCATTTGAACTGCATGTAAATCTGCTGTTCTATTATCGGCAACTCGAAATCAGCTACAATTTGTAGTGCGTGTGTTGCATTTCAAGAAAACCTTGCTAGATTGCTTTTTTCAGTGGTAAAAATATAGTCAAATTGAAGCTGAAAGCATAAAGAATCGTTTGCATGCATTCAGCGAAGTGTTTTCGTAAGAAAATCAAGTGCAAATAGTGTTTCAATTTGGGTTGCCGAAAATAGTCTGTCAGGCCGAAGCCGTCATTTTCCCTATCTATCAAGATCTTGAATTTTTTCAAGTGGTTAAAATAAGAACTTTTTTTTATTAAAAAAAAAATCGTAGCCCAAGATCTACAAAACAAGTTTCATTTTTCACTCAGAAACAATAGAGTGTGATTGGAAATGCTATCTAACATGAAGCTTTAGTGTGATAATTTATTAGCTAGAGAGAGGTCTGAAGAGGGTAGGTAGATAGTTCCGCTAGAGTACGGCAGTATGAAAATTGAACAGAAGTTGAAAATGAGCGAAGGTCCATTAATGCAACCAGTATTTACTAGTCAAACGCACACTTGTATACCTAACTCATCAATGGATGAGGAGATTTGAAGTATGTCTTCAACTCTACAAGCAAAAAAGTGCGCGTTTGACTTGCTTATATACTGTCTGCGACTGTGGAATAGTTCTAGCGACCAATGATATTTGTTAATCGATTACAATTGGTTTTCAAGTTAGGCCGCCTAGTACGCTGGTACTGCCTACAAATGGTGTTACGAAGTCTAATGAGGTCTTTACTAGAACTGTCAAGGTTCAGAGTGTTACTCACCTGTCTGGATACTGGTACGTGTTGTTCTCTGATCTGGGAAATCACCTCCTCGATGATATATAGACACTGGTCAAGGTCTTCGGAAGTCTCAGATTGGACATCGTAGTCGATGGTTGTGTCGACGCAGTGTTGATATTGAACTCAGTTGACACGAATCGGTTCACCGAGTAACCAACTTCAGCCAGCACCGGATAGTTGTCCGAGCTGTGCACTATGTTGCTAACCCAGCTAACACTTGTATGTGACTCTCCAACGACAGCAGGCAGGATTCCGTGCTGGAAGATCCATATTGTCACGCTCCGCATCATCTTGGAGCAGGTCAATGAGTTCCAAGAGTCCCTGTACTTGGTATTCATTGACCTCGAAAAAGCTTTCGACCGACTAAACCACGAAAACTTGTGGGGCGCTCTGAGACGCAAAGGAGTCTCTGATAAGATCGTCAACCTCATCGAAGCACAGTACGAGGCTTTCTCATGCAGAGTGTTGCACAACGGAGCTTTGTCTGACCCGATTCGGGTAACCGCGGGTGTGATGCAAGGATGTATATTATCACCGCTACTATTCCTCATTAGGGGCCTCTCTTATCTCAGTCGGTAAAGGCGCAGCTAAAAAGCAAGACCATGCTGGAGGTGGCTGGGTTCGATTCCCGGTCCGGTCTAGGAATTTTTCGGGTTGAAAAATTTCTCGACTTCCCTGAGCATAGAAGTATGATTGGACTTGCCACACAATCATACCAATGCAAAAATGGTACAGGCATCGAAAGCTTTCAATTAATAACTGTGGAAGTACATCTAGAACACTAAGTTGAGTACACGCAATAAGCTAATATGCGATATGCAATAAGCTTGAGAGGCGAAGAAGAAGAAGACTATTCCTCATCGTAATCGACGAGATCGTGGTTGGAGCCGTTGACCGTGTACCGAACCGTGGGTTGCTGTGGCAGCCTATTACTATGGATCATCTCAACGACTTCGATTTGGCTGATGATGTTGCGTTATTAGCACAACGGCGCTCTGACATGCAGAGTAAGCTCGACGACCTTGTGGAACGCTCCTCTGAAGCAGTTTTAACCATCAACGTCAACAAGACCAAATCGTCGGATGTCAACACGGAAAACCTTTCCAATTTTACGGTAGCTGGGCAGGCAGTGGAGAAAATCGGAAGCTTCCAATATCTTGGCAGCCAGATAGCGTCAGACGGTGGCACCTAGAGCGACATAGGTGCACGGATTAAGAAGGCGAAGGCTGCTTTTGCCAGTTTGTGAAATGTATGAAGAGCGAATCAGATCAGTCGACGCACCAAATTCCGAATTTTCAACTCCAACATGAAGTCTGTGCTGTTATACGCCAGTGAAACATGGTGTTTACCAGCGGAGAACACTCAGAAGCTGCAGGTGTTTATCAACCGATGCCTGCGGTACATAATTCGTGCCTGGTGGCCCCACAATTGGATCTCAAATTCCAAGCTTCATCGTTTGTGCCATCAGAAGCCGATAGAGACAGAAATTCGTGAACGGAAGTGGAGGTGGGTCGGCCACACATTACGACGGAGCAGAAATGAAATCTGCAAGCAAGCACTGGACTGGAATCCAGCAGGACATCGCAGCAGAGGCAGACCCAGAGGCTCGTGGCGGCGGATCCTAAACAGTGAAATTAAGAACGCTGACCGAAATTTTACTTGGGCACAGGCCAAAGCTAGTAATCGCCCAGGATGGAAATCTTTCACAAAGGCTCTTTGCACCCCTGGAGGTGCGCAGGATCGTTAAGTAAGTAAGTAATAGCCGCTCCTCCTCCTCCTCCAGAGTTGGTGCGATCAAGCCTCACGAGCCGGAAATCGGGAAGGTAGACGTTAATTTCGGACTACAGGAGGGTTTCAGTTATGATTGCAATGTCGATGTTTCGTTCATTGAGAAACTCAACGAACTCGATGTTCTTGCTCTTGAGCGAGCAAGCGTTCCAGTTGACTAGC